TTCTTATAATAGTGGTCTTATACAATATTTATCCTTCTGTGACTGACTAAATTCACTCATCATAATGTCCTCCAGCTTCCTCCATATTATAAGATGTTTCATGGCTTCATCGTTGTTCTTTATCATTGAGTAGGATTCCACTGTGTGGATATACCATATTTGTTTATCCATTTGTCCGTTGATGGGCACCTAGGTTGTTTCCATGTTTTTGCTATTGTGAACGGTGCTGCAATGAACATGGGTGTGCATATATCTATTTGTGTGACGGCTCTTATTTCTCTAGGATATATTCCAAGGAGTGGGATAGCTGGATAGTATGGTACTTCTATTTCTAACTTTTTAAGGAAGTGCCAAATCATTTTTAAAGTGGCTGTACCATTTTACATTCCCACCAACAGTGTATAAGTGTTCCAGTCTCTCCACAACCTCTCCAGCATTTATTTTGTGTTTTTTGGATTAATGCTAACCTCGTTGGGGTGAGATGATATCTCATTGTAGTTTTGACCTGCATTTCTCTAATGGCTAATTATCGTGAGCATTTCTTCATGTGTCTGTTAGCCGCCTGAATATCTTCTCTGGCAAAGTGCCTGTTCATATCCTTTGCCCATTTTTTAACTGGGTTATTTGTCTTTTTGTTGTGGAGGTTTTGCAGTATCTTGTAGATTTTAGAGATTAGATGCTGACTGGATTTGTCGTAGCCAAAAATTTTTTCCCAGTCTGTAGGTTGTCTTTTTACTCCTTTGGTGAAGTCTTCTGATGAGCATAAGTGTTTGATTTTTAGGAGCTCCCAGTTATCTAGTCTCTCTTCTGGTGCTTGTGCATTGTTATTTATGGTTCTTATTGTGTTTATGCCATGTATTAGGGCTCCTAGTATTGTCGTTATTTTTTCTTCCATGATCTTTATCGTTTTCGATTTTATATTTAAGTCTTTGATCCATTTTGAGTTAGTTTTTGTGCATGGTGTGAGGTATGGGTCTTGTTTCAGTTTTCTGCAGGTGGATATCGGATCACAAACTTAACACAAAGCATTTTATCTGGAAGCAAAATGTAAGGTCCTGACTCCTCCACTTCCAACCATATCCAGTTTCTGTAGCAGCAAGGGTTTGTCTCAAGTGAAAGTCAAATCAAGTCTTGGCTTCCAACAACATTAAATACACCCATTAACCTCTCCCTGGCCTTTTAGAAAAAGTAAAAAGATAAGAAAATGTTACATTCCTGCAAAGAATTTGCACAAAAAGGATGCATTTTGCTCTGTGTGTAAATGTCAAGCTTGCTCTCCTATTTAAGAAGGAGTAAGGCCACAGGGAAGCCAAGAGAGGGGAAAAAAAAGAAACACCCCAAACATTCATATGTTACTGGTAACAGGTCATATCTGAATGAGACAATGAGAAAATAATTGCAGTACTGCTATTTCCAGTGTCTTACATCACAAATGTTACTGCAGACAATCAGTCAGAAATTGATCTAAAAGATGTGTGTGTGTGTGAACGCATGCATGCTTGTATCAGCCTTCCTTTGTTTCATTTATCCTTCTCTTCCCTTACATCATTTTTGACTGCTGTTACAGTTAACAAAAGAATTGACATAGCCTTCACCAAAGCAGTCATTTGCTAAATAATGACACAAAGGGCTTCTGTGAAGCATGGTCAGTGACAACAATGAGCCTTTTCGGGAATTCAGAGAGCCCACAAAAACCATCCAAGCTGGACAAGAGCACACTACTTTTGATGGTACATACAGAGTAACACCTGCTTAAATGCTTCATGTTTCATGGCAAAAGTGAGTTAGAACAGATAACTGGTTATATTTAATACAGCATATAACCTTAACTAGCCTCACACTGAACGAGACTCATAATCTCTTATGTAACATTAAAAAAAATCTGTAAATGAGTTAATCTCCCTCTGACCCTCCACCCTAAAAAGGGGTATCCAACAAATATCTGAAAGAGTAGGTACTTAATTCAAACTTCAAGTTCATACTCAGTAGCCCAAAATTACTGAACTCTAATTACTATGTGCCAGGCAATGTGCTAGGCACTTTCTCATACATAGCTCACTTAGCGCTGCCTGACTGACTGATACTAGAATGTAAACTCCATAAAGGCAGGGACGTGTTTCTTTTATCATCTACTGCATTCTCAGCCCCTGGAAGACAGCCTGGTATACAGCAAGTACTTAACAAAATTTGTTGAATGGATGAATAAATGAATGAAAACTACAAGCACATAGTGTCATTTTTGTGCTGATGATTCTTTTCAGCGATGAGGGGTTAGCTGTAGAACATGCTTAAGTAGAATGCTCTTCAGTTAACACACACTATGTCCCTCTTTGGAGCCCTGGTGGAGCAGTGGTTAAGAGCTATGGCTGCTAACCAAAAGGTTGGCAGTTCAAATTCACCAGCTACTCTTTGGAAACCCTATGGGGCAGTTCTACTTTGTCCTATGGGGTCACTATGAGTGGGAATTGACTCAACGGCAATGAGTTTTTTTTTTTTTAATTCCTCTTTAGGAGGTTCCCTCTTTCTGCACAAGTTGGTATGGCTTATATACAAGCTAGTACGCCATATATCATATTGCAGAAGAGGCAGGCACAAGCTCTCTTATCAACTGTCTCTCTGCCTCCAGTTTCCCCAATTTCAATATAATTCTTACACCACCATCATATTAAGCTTAAATATACCACTTAAAACACTACATCATTTCTCTCCTTTAGAAGGAAGTTAAACATTCCCTGCCCTTCCCCCACCAGAATGGGAACTCCTGGAGAAGAGGACTGGGCTTTGACACGTGCCTAGCAGTCAGCACAATGCATCACAGGCAGCCCACAGCCGACCCTCAGGTAATGCTTGCTAAACCGAAAGAAATGTTAGACTTTACACAGCCTGGTTTATCTTATTTTTCCTAACTTAATTTTCATTATAGGCCCTCAACTTTTGATTTTTTTCCTGCCTTTTTCTATATTGACACCGTTAAACTACGCTTAAGCCACCACATCAGACAGAGACAACTATGAATAAATATTTTGAGCTCCTGGAAGATGGTGCTTCCCGGGAATCACAAGGTGTGCTAAAAGTAGTAAATCTTCAGCTTCAATCAGCCACATCAGTAGAGAGAAACAGTAAGTGCATCAGCACAGAAAGAATAAAATAACAAAACTGCCAGACTATATTGTAAAAGCCAAGTGTAAATAAGAACTTCACTGTATTTTTCAGCTCTCCAACATCTTCCTTTTAACTTACATTTAAGCCTATTGTTCGACTTTTGCACAGTCACCTGTCAGCCTAGTTTTCAGGAGAACTTTATGTATGAAAGTAGTAGACTCCCAGTCACTCTCAAACCAACCTTTGTATTCCAAATGGACTGTTTTAATCACTGTCTCAAAAAAAAAAAAAAAAGACCAAAACTCCCATCACTCATAGTCTTTGCTCATGCTGAGTGTTCTCCTCTCCCTTCCCATCCCCAGGCTTAGAAACCTTTCCTTATGATTTTCTGACTACCTGGATCCTACCATTCATCACTTCAAGTACCCCACCTTCCTGCTGTCCTAACTACTCAGGCCATCAAAGGCAGTGCTTTGAATTGCGACAGCATTTACTCTCTGCACCATGTGTTTGGAACTGAGCACATGACACTTTCTACTAGTAGTTATTTATCATATTTAGTGTTCCAAGCATCATCACCCCCAGTAATAAGGTTACAGGGTAGGAATATGCTTTATACATTTTTGTATGTATCCCTTCTGAGTATAGTATCTCATTTACTGGTTGGTGGCTTTTTAAGTATACTAAATTTGCTAATATAAATCCTCCCCCCCAACAATATCTTGAGATATAACTTGGATATAATAGGCCATTTTAAACAAAGTTACCCTTACTTCACTCCACAAACATATAGGCCAGGAAGGAAATACTAACAGTGGACTCAGGCTGGAGACAGAAGACTTGGGTTTTAGTCTTTTTGACCCTGCCACAAACTTGGCATGTGACTTTGGAAAAGTCATATACAACCCTCTACGTTTTAGTTCCCACATCTGTAGGGAGATGATGATAGCCACTGCTTCAATCTTAAAGAATTGTAAGGATCAGATGAGATAATGAACGTACAGTTGCTTTTTGAATT